TGCCGGGGGAGCCGGCTGAACCGGCTGCAGCAGGAGTACAAGGACAGGGAGGAGCTGCGCACCCGCTCGCTCCAGGCATGGATCTGCTACGTCACCTTCATCTGTAACATCTTCGACTACCTGAGGGTAAGGAGCCAGAGCGGGAGCACCCGGCTGCTGCTGCCTAGGGGTGCCAGAAGGGCTTGGGCATCCGTAGACACCAGGGCAGGGGTGTTGTATGGGTGTTGCACAGAGCTCTGGGGCTGTGGCTTGGCCATGGGGGCCAGAGCCGGCTCTCTGCAGGAGGATGCTGCCAGGGCTGGTGCTACCTCCAGGCAAGTGAACAGGCTTGGAGAGGCAGAGCCATCTCTGGGAACAGTCACAAAGTCTGAGCTTCCTCATTTTGTACCTGGTGTTTGAAATCCTCTGATTTTCCTGCTCCCAAATGTCCCAGATTGACCTAGTTTAGTTGCTATGAGGTCCCAGTGGACCCGTGGGTGCTCACATCATTTCTAACTCACGTACTGACAGAGTTTGTCTGCAAGCCTTTGCTGTAGTGTGTGTACTTGGATGCCTACTTGGAGTAGATGTGAAAATTATGCAAGTAGAGCTGCAGGAAGGAAAAATGCTGCTACAACAAGTATGTTTCCCATGACATTTAAAAATATATGTTTTGGCATCATTTGTTCAGCTTCTCTGGCTCCTGGAAACTTGAACATCTGGTCTCCTCTGTAAATCCCACTAATAGTGCATTTGGCAGCACAATTAAATTCTGCTCCTTTCTCCTTTGAAAAGCAGCGAGGGAACAACTATTTAAAATATCTGCAGACTCCTCCCTTTCTGGCCCCAAGCTGACGATGGCTCCTGCCTCCTCACAGGTGAACAACATGCCCATGATGGCTCTGGTGAACCCTGTTTACGACTGTCTGTTCCGGCTGGCACAGCCCGACAGCCTGCGGAAGGAGGAAGAGGTGAGTGCAGGCCAGAGGGCTGCTAATGTGCCTGTTGTCCTGCCATGGACCAGCAAAAAGCACAGCCTGGGGGATGTGGTCTCTGCATCCTGGTGTAGAGGAGGGGGAGCTGCCCTTGGTATGCGGAGAAGGAGACCCGCCAGGCAGGTCAGGCAAGGGGTTCCTGTAAAGGGGTTTTCTCCATCTTAGCACAACCCTCCCACCCCTGCAGCACGTTGACTTTTCCCTCTTCTCCAAAGACCCAGTTAGCGCCCGTGTTTCCTGCAAATCACCAGACTTTCTAAGAGCTTTAGTGGTGTTCCAGTCACTGCCCTCTGTTCTTGGAGGCACCTCCTTGCTCTGGCCTCAGCTTCAGCCTTGCCATCTCCTCATAGCCATTCTGCAGGAAATTCATGTTCCACCTGCTGAGGGTGCATTTCTCTGGCAATTTTGTCTGAGGCAGGGGAGTTCAAGATGTGCTTTTCCAGCACTTTTGCCAGAAGTTCAGCCTCTTCTGCCTCCTGTCACAGTGACTCTGGGGAAGCAGAACAGTCACCTGTTGGAAATCCAGAACAGAGGGAACAGGATGAGTTGGTCGATAAGTGGCTGATGGGGACCTCTACAAAGATGTCCCAAAGCTCCCCAGTCCTTTGTACTCAGCCATCTTCTCTTCCTTCTGAAGGTGGACTGCCTGGTCCTACAGCTCCATCGCATTGGCGAGCAGCTGGAGAAGATGAACTCCCAGCGGATGGATGAGCTCTTCTCCCTCCTCCGCGATGGCTTTCTTCTGCAGGAGGGGCTCAGCTCCCTGTCCCAGCTCCTGCTGCTGGAGATCATTGAGTTTCGGGCTGCTGACTGGAAAATGACGGACGCTGCCCAGAAATACTATTACAGCGAAGTGACGGATTAACCTCTACAGCAGAGGTGGAGAGATCTCCCCAGCACTTTCACCAGCAAGCTTCATACCAAGTTTGAATTTCTTTTAATGTTAATGTTTTTCTAGCACTTCCTGTAAATAAGATTTATACTGTCTAGAGCCTCTGGGTATGCAACTGTCAGGCTGCAACTGGTGCTAGCCTGACCTTGGAGGTTTGGAGAGGTGGGAAGGGCAGGGCACATTTAGCCCAGCATGTTCTCCCACTGATATTGTCTAATATTGGGCTGCTGCCAGCAAAGGGCAAGGAAGGCTTCTAGCTCAAACCAGCATTTTATCTGAGTGTTAATGAAAGCACAGTTTAGGCTGAGAATAGTTTGGTTCACCCAAGAGCCAGTGCAGCTGGGAGAGGCAGAGGGGAAATCTCTGACAGCTCAGGTTGTCCTTGGCTGTCTGGGACAAGCCATAGAAAACTCTCTGGCCTCACAAACAGCTCAACAAGGGCTGTTTTTCCCGGACTCGTTCCAGCACACTGGCTGCACCTGCACACACACAGCCGCCCCCACAGGTCACGAGCCACCGACACTTGGCAGCACGACAGGTCCCTGAGCATGTGTAGCTAGAAACAGGTTTTATAAGTTTTATACAGTAACTGTCATGTATTTCAAAATTTAGCAAGTTTCAACTAGGGTATGTTTCTTACAAGAATGGGAGTGGAAGAAAGGAAACACAATAGTCTATTGAAGGGTTTTTTTCTAATAAAAGTTTTCCACTAATACGTGTCCTGCTTTTGCTCTACACAGCTGCTGAGCTGTGAACAATACTTAAAAGTTGTTCCTGACAGAAGCCTTAAGGCTGTGATACTAATTTTCTCCTCCAGTGTAGGGTGTCAGCGTGGCTTTACACAACCAGGGTAGATGGAAAGAGCAGTGTGAGATTCAAGCGAGACAAAGATTTGGAATTGAGAATTCTTCCCCATAAAACTGATTTTATTTTTTCTGTTAACAACCCCATCAAATCTGATGACCAGAACAAAGAAATCAAAAAGAGCCTTTTATTGCCTTTTGTACCAATCAAGGGTAGTTATGGTATGGAAAGAAATCCAGCTCTGCTCTTAGCTGTGCAGCCAAAAGGGGAAAACACTGCTGATTACAGAAGCAGAGCCACTTAGAAGTCCCCAGGAAACAGGTAAGTGGAAGGTTATTTTTTACAGCATTGCCCTAAGAAAAACATCTAAGGCTTCTCTTCACAGGAAAGTGATTATGAAGTAACCAGAGCATCTGTGCAGGGGTTGGTAACTCTTTCAGGTTCCCCTTCCCCCATCCAAACATCACAAAGGAAATTAACTTTGTGAGGATCAGATGTGCTGTCCCTGGCTTCGTTCAGAAGCTGTCTGGATCTTCCACCTTTCCCCCTTCTCCCAGGCAGGCGTTCCTGGGGCTGTGTTTTCCAGGCCGTGGGAGTGGTGGCATCGTGTCCGTGCACAGTCTCTACCACCAGCGGAAGTGGGCGTAAGCGCGGTTGGCCTCTGCCATCTTGTGCAGGACGTGTTTCTTCTTGATGATGGGACCTTCGTTGTTGAAGGCCAGGAGCAGCTCCTGGGAAAGCTTCTCGGGCATCATCGTCCGACGATTCTTGTTCTCCCTGCACTCGGTGATCAACCACTTCATGGCCAGGAAGCGCTTCCGATTGTCCGTCAGAGGGACCGGGACCTGGGAAGGTGTAAACGGTACCAGTTATGGCGTGCTCTGGGTGCAGTAACCTGCTGGACTCCCAAAGTCACAGAGCTCCAGCTGGGCATGTGCAGATTTACACCGTGCTGTGACTCCAGCTGCAGCACGCTGCTCTCTGCAGTACCACCAGCTCCCAACAGCTGATCCACGCCAATTCTCCTCTCTCCATAGAAACTGGCCATTGCTACCAGAATGGAAATTCTGATCAGCTTTGGGGGACTGCTGGCAGACATTGGCCTTGTAAGGACTTCTGGCCTATTTGGGAGCTGGATCCAGGCTGGTTTGTGTGAGCAGAAGTGGGAGATGGTCACCACTCCCCTGCACTGGATGACAGAGAAATGCCTCCACATCTCAGTTCTCCATCAGGTCTCAAGTTTTGGAGAGCCCATACTTAGAGACAGGTTCTGCTTATGTTTTAGATAACACACTCTATCTAGTTGACCTTTTCCACTACACTGACCCTCCCCAGGGCTTTGGGGTCTCTACCCACGCAACACAATGCAGCAGAGAGGATGGCACTGGCAGTACTGGGACTGCTGATTCTTTTGCTGCCCGTCACTGATCTCTGTCTCCTTGGACGTTTGCCACATACCCCTCTTCTAATCTAGTGAGAAAAAAAGGGTCCGCTGCTGATGGGAATTACCACGGTCACAGGCTGGGGTGCTGATCTTGTACAGAGTTTATAGGTGCTGTTTTAATCCAGATTGCAAAGTGGCTCTCATTCCAAGGAGAGGAAAGCTTGGGCTGAAGGGGTGGAAACCAGTTCATCTGTTGCCCTAGCTAATTTTCTCCCAACCAGATGTGCTCCCACCCTCCACTTTCACCTGGTAAGTTTTGCCTCCTTTTGTGATGCTGCTGAGCCCAATGATGGGCTGGCAGTTTTTCAAAGCCTGGTGGAAAATGACGTAAGGGTTGCATTCAATTGTCTCCTTCTCATTATCTGGAGCTTTGTGGTACTTCTCCAGCTGCTTCCTCTTGATGGCCTCCAGAGTCTTGGCACAACGACAAGAAAGGAGACATGCAGAGAAGTGGATTATCGTGCTCCATGAAATTGCATCACTTTTACAAGCACCCCATTTTCACCTGAGCCTGTGGCTGGTTTTCTAGCCCTGTAGGCAACAGGCCAGTCTGGGATTCTCTTACGTTTTAGTTCAGCCCCTTCATCAGACATTGCATTTGGGGTGAGGAGGCTTAGCAGCACAGACCTGGGCCAGGAGCCAGGGGAGACCAAGGACAAAGACAGGAATACAGGTCTGTGTGCGCTGAGCATCCTCGCCTCCAAAGCCTGGACTCAGAACCCCGGAGTCTGCGTGTTTTTGTGTCACAAGGAAACAGCCATTACTTGGGGAACATTTGGGCAATGTGTGTCCCTGTTTCAAGGGCTGGAACACACCAGACAGAACCACTAGCTAAAACCAGTTCTTGTAGGCCAGAGCAAGGGTCAAAGCTGTGTCATACGGGTGATGCATTTGTGGGACTTCATTTAAAAGCAATAGAGAAGAGAAGGCATGAAGAGAGCTGCAAAGAGGATCTTTTGAGAAAATTATGGTTTTAAGGGGATACTCTGAGTTTATGGTTTGGTGTTGGTAGTATTAGCTTAACAGTTGGTCTCAGTGATCGCAAGGCCCCTTTTCCAACCTAAATGATTCTACAAAAGGTCCAAGAGACACTGAAAAGTGGAAAGAGAATATTCTCCATTAAGCTATCACCACCTGGTCTGTGGGCTGAATAAGGATGGGGCCTGTACAAAATGTCCATCTGATCAGATAATAGTGAGAGCATCGTGTGTGCAGAGGAAAATGCATAAAGGCCGCAGAGATGTCCTGAGTTCTGGCAACTCCTAATTCCAAGGGGGCTTGACGCCCCATTTGGTATTGTTTTAACATAATAGTGAGAAGAAACATGAGTTCTCACCTGAGCCATGAGGCTTCTGGCCAGCACTTTATTTCCATCCTTCATCATCATGTTGGTGAATTTACTGTAAATGCAAAGCCAAATGCAGTCAGATTTAAATTGTGATTTTATCACCCACAGAAATAAGTCCCCCCCTTGTGTTGTTCCCATAGTTAAGTCTGGGTGCTGCTAGATCTGCTGTAATTATCTCTAACCACTGTCAGCTTGGCTTTGTGGGAAAAGATTACCCTGAATAAAGGGATTGTGCTGCACCAGAAGGCAACACACAGCACAGCAAGTGAAGGCTGAGGAGGACAGCACAGCTCCCAAGCATTCTGGCTCCATGGGACCTCACTGTAACAGAGGAGGAATTGATGTTTTCTCTGACCTGATCATAGGGTCGCTGAACACAGAGCTGGAGACACTAGAAGGAGCAGCTTTTATGGGTCGAACAGCCTTAAGCTCCTGGTTTTCCTTTTCCTCCTCGGTCAGCTCCTCCTGAGATTTTTTATACAATTCCTTGTTCACCTCTGGCTCTAAGAAACTGGGGTTGTAGCGACTCCATCTCACCTGCGTCAGCCTGCAAAGAACAAGACGAGGGCTGTGAACTGATGCCCTTGGCACGTCACAGAAGGGACGTGGACAGACATGAACGCACCTCAGAAGGACACGTTAGACTTGAGAGGCATTTCTGCCTTCCTCCCCATCGCTGCTTCTCTACTGCAGCAGAGCCAGTGGCTTAAATCAACAACCGGGCCTACAATTTTGCTGTAAAATTATCAGGCAGTCCCCACGCCCAAGGGCTGGGTCTGAATGGTACCACAGCTCCAGGCATTGCAGCGCTGAGCCCACCCCCCTGCCAAGCCAGGCCTTTTTTTGCCGAGCCTCTGGCCCCCAGGCCTGACCTTGTAAGGTCCCAAGCTGTGGGTGACTTCAGCGAACATCGCTCTGTGCTCAGGGACGAGCGCCTTAAACCGG